GATTCTCTGGGGCGTAACCCAACACACATTTCACATCCTAATCACCATTCAGAAAGGGCTGGTCAGATAGCCTTCCATGTGACCATCAGGGGCCTGCCTTTAGGTTGGGGGCTCTGTGTTCAAGAACGGGAGAGAGACCAATGAATGCTCCAGATCTAGAAGATAAAAAAACATTCAAGCTGGAAGTTTGTTGGGGCAGGTCTGGAAGTGCCGTATGTCCCTTCCACCCACCTTTCACTGGCCAGAAACTGGGCCCACACCTACGCACGAGCAAGTCTGGGAAACCTCACCAGCCGTGTGGTGAGGAGGAAATGGTGAGGAGGAAATGGAAGACCACTGGGCACCTCAAATGGCAGCTTCTCCTTGCTTAACCACCTCTACCTCAACCCGGAGGATCCTATACAGGAGATGATGTTGTAATCTTACCGAGAGATGGACTGGGGCGTATACCAGAGGCCCAGGTTTTCCCAAGCGGGGAAAAGCCAGCTCATGCCTGAGGTCTTGGCATTCCATCCGGTGGATGCCCCGTTAGTATTCAAGTCTGGATGCCTGACAGCAGAGGAGGGAAGAGTGTCGGATTTGGTGAAGATGCAGGATATTGCTGAAGAGAAGCCACACAGCCACTGTTCAGTAAAGACAGTATTTTTTTTTTTAATTTTAAAATTCTGCATCTGAAAACACAGTATGACAGAAAGCATCTATATACACCTGCAGTGTTTTTGGTATGATACAGTATTTAATACATCCACGGTTTTCTGCAAAAAATTTTGCTTTGTCAGACAGAAACAAACTCCCCTAGACAAAAAAATACAGCTAAGGCACAATTTCATTGTTGTTTTTCTGCTAAATGAAAAGACAGAGAAGGTGCAAAAATGGGCAGGTAGTGCAATCATTTCTGAAAATCACGGTCTACCTCGAGGAAAAGCATTTGGATGATTGGAATTTTGATAACTGGTCAATTTCAGATAGTTCAATATCTCTTAAAATACTCCTTTAAATAAATAGCAAAATATCTACATCTTTCAGTTGTGTGCCATTGGAATTTTTTTTAAACTTTATTTACAGATGTTTTTTAAATCAATACATTACAAAATATTTCTGTACAGTTTTATGCATATCATGATCTATAACAAAATAGTTATTTTTAAAAACTATATCACCACATGTCTTTGAAAAAAAATGAGGGGGGCAGTAATAACTTATCGTGAGGCCTCTAAAAAAAAAAAAATACCCAAACACACGCTATTGACAACATAATATTAAGAACAAAAGACGACTGCGAACGGACTGTAAGGACGGCTGCGCTCCATTCCAGTGAATTCCCTATGAAACGCTAGGGTTGTCTTTGGCCTCCAACAAAGCCTGGAATGACAGAAGGCGGAAGTGTGATCCCTTTGAGAACACGACCCATCCGCTGGGAATATTTAATGCTCTCACTTTCCAGGCAGGAAGGACGAAGAGAGAAACTGAGAAACTCTCCTGATTTACCCTTGAACGAAGTACATCAGGTCACCACGCCTTTGTGGGGTGGGGGGGTGTACCTCGGCAGTGCGGAGGCCGTGCTGCCTGCGCGGCTGACGGTCGCGTGAACACCGAGCCTTCGTTTCACCCACAGCAACAACAGAAGAGCGTGTCTCTTAAAGACGACATTTAGAAGCCATTTCTGTGGCATCTGCGGACTGCAGATGGGCAGCCTCGGGCTTACGAGGTTGCCACGAAAGCTTCCGGATGCTCCTTCTTCCCGGATGGTGGTGGAAGGTGGACAGAGAGGGCAGTCAGCTTTCCAAAAATAATTTTAAGGCCACATTTCAAAAAGGAGAAACCTAAGGCTTTTGGGGGTGGGGGAAAGAAAATGAGGGGTGGAGGTGCAAGGGGGCAGAACCTGCTTTTCCTGGGGGCTCCGTACGCAGAGGCAGTTGGGAGGGTTCCCAGCCAGAAGGAGGGGAAGGGGGGGGCCACTTTCTCCCTGCGTGGGGCTTGGCGAGGATAAAACCAAAGACAACGTGAGGGGGAGACGCAGGTGGCGCCGGAACACCCTCAGTATGGGGTCTATAAAGTATCTTTGCAAAGTGAAACAAAAAACTTCTGAGAGAGACACAGAGAGGGGAACAGAAAGGGAGAGAGTTTGCATAGATTGTACATTCAGCTCGAGCAGGTTTGGGACACCTAATCACTTCTCCCCCAGGTAAACTTCTCAGCAGACACAATGAGGTAGCGCCTGGGGTAGACCCACGGGCAAAGTAAGGTAACTGAGGCAAAGAGGGCATCCCGTGAGCAAGCAGGGCTTCCGAAACGTGGGCCAGGACCGCTGCTCGAATGTGGGACTTGGAGCGAGCCGGGCCGCTAGACCACCCCCCCCCCCCGGCCCCCCAGCCAACCTGTCCTGCGTCACCTCTGCCCGGTCTGGCTGAATTCGGGCAGGTGACAGCCTCGAGTCTAAGGGGCAGCGATCGAGGTCTGCAAATTCTTTCCTTTTTGTTTTTTTTTAGCACCATCTTGGGGCCAGGACAGCTGCACAAGCCATTTCTCCTGGGACCCTTCTCGGCCGGACCGTCTCTCCTGGTTGGAATGACTGGTAAGAGGTTCATGTTTTCTTCAGAGCGACAGGTGAAATGCGCTCGAATTTTTGCCCCTTCTGAAGGGTGGCTCCTTTCCTCCTCCCCCCGGACGCTGCCTAATAACCTCGTCGTCAGCCACCTCTCCGGACAGCAGAGGTGGCCGGCAGTGCACACAGGATGAACTGTGGAATTCCTCTTCCCCAAACTCTCCCACAGAACAGAAAAGGCTTGCCAAAAGTAAGACTCCGATTTCCCAGGACCTCCCCTACCACGCAGCGTGGCCCTGACCGGGCAGGCGCCGGCCAGCAGCTGTTGCTAATACACCCTCCTACTGTATACCCCCTGGGGTGCTATGGGGGAGGGTGTGGCCTGGGCTGTGTCAGGGGGCAGGCTGCAGCCCTACATGCCTCTCCTGTGCACCTCCCTGGCGAAGAGATCGAGGTCCCAGCCGGTGTCCGTGGACCTGCAGGCCAGGGATCCCCTCCCCCGATGCCGAGGCAGCTGCAGCCTTGCTCGTTCTCTCTGAATGCGCTGGCTTTCTAAAAGTTACACTACCATGGGGGAATGACACCGTGATCTGAGCAGAAATGTCTCTTTCCAAAGGGAGGAAAGGGTGCCCTTGTGACACATGGGGTCTAGGCCTCGCTCACGTCCTCGCTGGACACCATGGGGCGGGCTGGCTGGCAAGTCGCACAGGGCACCCCAGCCTCATGAGTGAGTGACTCCAGGGACCGGGTCAGGGCTGCCAGTGCTGCACTTCCAGTTGTGCCAAGTTTTCCTGGGTCTCGTGATTAAGTCACTCGTAGATTAAAAAAGAGTTCAGCTATTACTGTGTCTCCTGAGACATCACCACCTTTTCTCTAATCATCCTGGGCTTTTATTTATTTTATTCCCAGACCCCAAATACAGGTTATAAAGAAACACTTGGTGTGACTGCCTGGCGTCCCAAATTCCTTGCAGGGAGGGGACTAGGTGGAGGCCAGCAATAGGGGTGAATGTGGGTGCGCCCCAGCGCACACACCGGCCTAAGCTCTGGGCTTTCTGAGTAAGACCCTCCCAGGCCCCTGCAGCCCCTGGTGACAGTGGCTACCTCCCAGCTTGGTCCCCCCACCCCCCCCCTTTCTAAGCTGGGTCTTCCTCCTTCCCAGGCTTGGAAGGAACCAGGTTCCCTCTGTCAGCTGGTCAGATCCCTGGCCCTCCCTGCACCTGCGGTGGGTACGGGGGCGGCTCAGAGGACTGGAGGCCCAGCCCAGGCTCCCATCTTGCCTGAGAAGGAGGAAGGCTCAGTGTCCCCAGGGGCACCCACTTGCAGTCAGCAGATGCTGGGGTACACAGGCTCCTCCTAGTGTCCCAACACCCCTGCTTTCCTCTGAGGACGTGGAGGACGCAGAGCAGACAGGAGAGGGAGGCGGAGGGGGGGCCTTTCGTGAAGGAAGGCAGCTTCAGTTAGTATGAGAACGTAACTGACAAGCTGCAAACGCAGCACCTACTAATTAGTCATGGACTAAAACATATACATAATAAATACTGAAAGTATCCCTCTTCAGGCCCCTCCGTGGCCCTCAGGACACCCGGCCTGGTGGGGTGAGGGCTCGGCTACCTTCATACCCACACTGCACAGAGACCCAAGGATGGGCTCTGCAGCAGAGCAGCCGGGGGCAGGAAGGGGCCTCGGGCTGGGCGCTGTGGACCCCCAAGGGCCCTGCGCGGCTCAGAGTTCAGCTTTCTGGCAACTCGAGCACTTGGAATAACACTGAAGCTTCCCGCTTTCACGCGGCACCTCACAGAGGAAGGGTATGGAGTTAAACACCAAATCTGAAATGCTGTTTCCTGGCTGGGAAAATTCCCTTTCCCTACAGCACCGGGGAGGGAGGGTTGGCCGGGGCTGGGGAGGAGGGCGAGTCACAAAGGTGACCTCAGAGCCAAAGGGCTCAGGCAGGGGTGGGTATTGCTGGGCTGTGCAGCTCAGGAGTTGGCTCCCAGCAGTCTCTGAGGTTCATGGCCGTGGTCCCCAAAGTTGCCGCTGACCTGGACCCAAGAGGTCAGGGTCTCGGTCTCCTGGCCCACGCATGCCTGGGGGACTTGTGGCTTAGAAGCCTCAGCCCCGGTCTGCCGCCGCGTGTGGCGGTGCGAAGGGAGGCTGGCCCGGACGAGGGGCAGCGGAGTTTGGGAACCTCAGCCATGTTCTGTCAACGGGCTCTCGTGCTCTCCTAGGGCCTGAGGAGGACAACTCAGCCAACAAGGGCTGGCGCGGGGCTCAGCCAGCCTCCCTCTCCGCCCAGGAGCAGGAAAGTGAGCCCGGCGGTGGGACTGGTGATCAAGCCCGCGGTCGGGGCAGGGCGTTTCCTGCCTCCTTCGGAGAGCCCTTGGGGGGGGGGAGGTACCTTAGGAGGCGCGGCTGGCCGGCGGGCTGTGCTTAGAGAAGAAGCTCACACTCCCAGCTTCAACCGGAGCAGCCTGGATTTCAACCCCACCTTGCACTTCCTGCCTCCAACTGCGCTTCATCAACAGAAGTCTGCTGCTCGAAATAAAAGTTTGAGAATCACTTGTCTGGGGACGGGGCCATCGGAAGGGACGACAAGGAGCCTGTAGGTTTTGAAGATGAACCCAAAGAGGTAAGACCGCCGTGGGGCGGGCACCAAGCAGTCCTCGCCCCCAGCTTGCCCAGTGCAGGTTGTCGCCACACCTGCCTTCTCCATCATTCTGTAGCCAGGAGAGCCCCTCGCACGAAAGACACCCCCCTTGGGGGGTGGGAGGCCAGGGTCCAGGCGCCGCCGGCTCTCTGGCTGCTTTCCCTTTGAGATCTGCTGTGGCTCACGCGTGCCCAGTGCTACCTGAGCCGGCCGTCGGGTTTGACCGCGCCCAGCTCGGACTTGGGGTCAGGGCTGAAGGAGCTCCAGGCCGTGTGACTGCAGGTCTGCATGACAGGGCAGGCCGTGGGGCCCGCGGCGCAGACGTCCACCGCGGCCCACATCCCACCTACCAGCGAGTCCAGCCAGCGCTCCAGGCCTGCGCCGGTCGCGGCCGCGTTCCTCCGCGCCTGCTCCACCTGGGCAGGGCTGATGGGCAGACTGAGGACGGGGTTCAGGCTCTGGAAGCTCTGCTCCATGTAGGCGTTGCGCAGGGGCCCGCTGTGCAGCTTCAGGGCCGCCTCTGGAAGCCAAAGGGATGGGGTGGTCAGTGGGTCACAGAGTGGGGGCCTGCAGGGTGCCCTGCGCGGCACGGGGCAAGCTCATGAAGGTTCTCACCAGCCCCCTCCACATAGATGAGGAACCCGACCTGCACCAGCCACGAGCCTGCTTGGTGTAGGGCACGGTCCTCTCGTCTGATCACGTTAGTCCACACAGTCATGCAATGCATTTAAAGCACCCACTATGCGCAAGGCATTCATTCATGTCATAAAGATCTATTAAGTGCTGGGGCCTCTGGGTGGCTCAGTTGAGCGACTGACTCTTGGTTTCAGCTCTGTTCATGATCTCCCAGTTGGTGAGATCGAGTCCCACCTCAGGCTCTGTGATGACAGCGTGAAGCCTGCTTGGGACTCTCTTCCTCTCTCTGCTTCTCCATGACTTGTGCGTGCACACATGCTTGTACCTGCACAGACACACACACACACACACACTCTCAAACATTAACAGAAAAAGATCAAGTGCCCAGCTCCAGTCCTGGTGGTAGAATGAATCAGATAGTCAAGATTGCGACGCAGCAGAGGGACACTGATACTAAATAAATAAAGTCATTTTAGTCAGTAAGAAGCACCAAAATGGGACTAAACTGGGTGTGATTGCAGAGCGAGGGGTTGGCAAGCGTGGGCGCAACCTGGCCCCCCATGTATGACTGTAAATAAAGTTTCAGGAGAACACACCATGCCTCTGTGAATGTCTGTCTGTGGCTAATTCTGTGCTACTACCACAGCTGAGGAGAGACAGAGACCGCGTGCGGCCCGCCAAGCTGAATGTATTTACTGTCCAGCCCTTTACAGTCGAAGCCTGCTGCCCCAGGGCTGAGAGAGGGACAAGGTGTTTAGTTTGGATGAGGTGGGCAAGGGAGACCGCTCTGAGGTGACATCTGACTGCAGTGCTGGTTAAGGAGAAAGCAGCAGCCACATGCAGATGGTGGGAAAGAGAATTCTGAGCAGTGGCAACATGGAGCAGAAAGCCTCATTAAATGCCTTTCTGCAAATCACAGAGGTAAGGAGACTCGGAGCGGAGGTTTGAACAGAGGGCTGACGCTCTCTGGCTCTCCAAACAGCCCCGCTTCACCGAACACCAGAGTGTGCGTAACAGTCAGGATGCCTGGGTCTGAAGCCCCGTGGCCCACACGCCTGGCGTGCAGATTCTGATAGCAACACTGGGTACCTGGTTTCCTGGACATTAAAATAGGTCACGTACTTAGTACCTTTTGTGATGACTAAAAGTGTTGATTTCTGTTTAGTGCTTCAGATGGCACCTGGTATTAGCATCCAGAATACATAAAGAACTTCTACAACTCAACACCAAAAATTCCTCCAATAATCCAGTTAGAAATGGGCAGAAGACAGCCAACGGACACAGGAAAAGAGGTTCAATGACACTCATCCTGGGAGAAACGCGAATTAAAACCGCAATGAGGTGTCACCTCCCACCTGTCAGAATGGCTAGTAGAAAACACCAGCGGTGACCGGGATGTGGAGGAAACGGAAGCCTCAGGCACTACTGGTGGGCACGTGAGCTGGTGCGGCCACTGGGGCTAACAGTGTGGAGGCTCCTCAAAAAGTTAAAAATCGAGCTATCCTCCAGTCCAGCAATCACACTAGCAGGTATTTACCCAAAGAATATGAAAGCCCTCATTTGAAAACATACATGCACCCCTGTGTTTACTGCAGTGTTATTTACAATAGCCCCATTCTGGAAGCAGTCCAAGCATCCATTCACAGGTGAACGGATAAAGAAGCCACGGCAGGTACAGTGGTATATACACAGTGGAATATTAGTCACAAGGAAGAATGAAATCTTGCCCTTGGCAACAACGAGGATGGACTAGAGGATCTAATGCTAGGTGAAATAAGTCAGGGAAAGATAAATACCATACGATTTCCCTCATATGTGGAATTTAAGAGACAAAAAAGAAAAAAGAGCAACAACAACAAAAAAAACCAGACCGAACATACTGGTGGTTACCAGAGGTGAGGTGGGTGGGGGGTTAGAAGACTAGGCGATGAGGATTGAGAGTTCACGTATCGAGATGAGCACTGGGTATAGATTCGCTGAATCACTACACTGTGCACCTGGAACTATATAATACCACATGTTAATTACACTGGACTTAGAAAAAGAAAACGAGACAAAAGCAGGTGCACACGTGAACATACAAGGCAGATACTAAGTGCGTGGAGTTTAGGATAACTAGTTAGTGTTACTAGGACACAATCCTCTGACACTCACACAACCACAGGACGGGTGTTTTGATCCTCATTTTACAGATGGGGACCCAGGATCTGGGGTTCAATCCAGCACTGGCTGCTTCCAAAGCCTGTCGTCATGATACTCCGTTTGCAGCGCATCCAACTCACCGGAAGCTCTAAGACTGGTTTTTAAATTTTTAAATTGTATTTTCATCTGGAAGCCAATCTTTCAAAGACTGGGTGTCCCCATCTGTAAACTGGATTCTCATCCCTGCACCAGACCCCCAGGGCTGGCAAGAGGCTCAGGTACAAGTTCATATGCTCTGTGAACATCCGAGGGGGGCTGGTAGCTCCTGGGCCGTCCGCCTGAGAACAAAGCCTGTTCTCTCTCTAGCGGGTCCTGATCTGTCCGCTGGAGCCCCTCCGTGCCTCCACATCTGCAGAGCCGGTGGCAGGGAGATCCCTGAGCTGTTAAAGGGCAGGCAGGGCATGCCAAGTGAAAAGAGCAGCCAACAGACATCTGAACGCTAGGAACCCAATTTTGTGGGTGATGCAAAAAACCCTTATGAAAAACGAGGTTAATGTGGGGAAATGCTGTTACAGCATCCGCCCATGATGCTCGCCTCTATAATTAAATTTTCCTCAATTCCACCTCATCAGATTTCTTGAGATTACCAGGGACGCTTCAATAGCAAATTAGTCTTGATGAATCATTTTACAAACTGCTTTGCTCCCTCCCAACTTGGTGTTCCCTGTCACTGGAACATCATTAACAGACACAATTATGATGGGGTGTGTGTGTGTGGGGGCTGCTTCCACTGGGATAAAATGACCCCTGGGTCATCCTGGGCAGGGCTAGGAAGAGCCTTGCCATCCTCAGAAACTCTGAGGAGGAAAAAACTGGAACAATCAGAACCTAGGGAATGGCCCCAGGCTATTTTACTGAGGTGAGGAGGTAGACTCAGGACCGCTCCATTTTTGCATCTGGCAGGTGTATCTGGAGCAAAGAGAAGGCTATTTTTATCCCTCTCTTCTGCGTCTCACTTTGGGAACTCTCTGCGATGCTAGAGATGTGAACCTGATTAAGAGGGCCCTTGAGGGCCCTAAGTGGGTGGGCTCTGGCCCAGCTCCTTCTGGATGGGCCTGTTGCCTGCTTCCCAGGGGAGCTGGAGGGATCGGATTTCCTTCTCCAGAAAACATGAGGTCTCTGTCTTTCTGCTTCCTCAGCACAGAAACTTAGTAGAGGCCAACAGAGTTCACTTCTACACCCCCTTGGTTAGGATTCTAGGCACCCCCCTCCCCATGTCTGTCCCCCTCTCCTTGTGTCACTGGCTAAATGGCACCTGGCCCAGAACTCTGAGTTTAGCTAATAGGCTGTTGTGTGTGTTTGGCTTCTGGGTTTCTGATCTGTTAGATGTAGACCAACAATTTCAAATACTGAGACCCAGAAATTCTATTTCTAAGAATCTATTTCATGGATGTATCTGCATGGGCACAGACAATAGATTCAAGAGTCTTTGCAGCGTTATCTGTACCACCACTACCACCACCAGCACCAGCACCACCACCACAAAGTGTGTGTCCACCCATGGGGGAAAAGACGGATTGTGGGTCCTTCCAGTGGAGTGCAAGGCAGCTGGTAGCTTTATATTCCGTGACTCAAAGTCCAAAGAGCCAGTTTCATTACAGAGTGTATTACTCCAGTTTCGAAAACCAGCAGTGTGTTTGTGACTTATTTTGTGTTTGTGCTTTAGAAGCCTTGAGAAACCTCTAGAAGGATGAACACTGAAGTGTTGGCAGTGGTTACTCCACACGGAAGGGCTCAGTGGAGAGGAAGATGTTCCCAGTGATCAAAGGAGGAGGAGGAAGAACAGAAAAATAAAAGTAACTCTGGATAAGAACAGAAAAAGACGGGCATGTTAAGAGTCTGACATCCCTCTCTGTGCTCAGCGGGAACCACCATCACGATTCATATTAACGACTCATTTTCTCACAGCTTTTAAGGGACAGAGAATCCTGAAATAAAGTAGTTGTGGCTTGGCTTGCTTTTGAACTTGAAATGTATGCACTCTAATTATGACTCTTCTGTGGTATTTCCTCCTTAACATGCTGTTGTAGAGACTGATCCAGATCAATGCACAGAGTGGAGTTCCGCTGTCTGAACAGACCCCACGGGTTCATACGCCTGAATGTGGGCACCTGGACTGCTTCCGGTTTGCTGCCATTACGAACAGTTGGGCTCTACTTCTATGTCTGGAGGGCATACACCTTGGTCTGGGACTTCTGGGCAGTAGGTGGTGTGTGTTCAGCTATAACAGGAGATGCTATGCCATTTTCTAAACCCGTTTTATCACTGTGCCCTCCCCCCCACCCCAGCACAGCACTACATGGGCGGCCATTATCCTCCAGCCCTCTGCCATGATACTGTCCAGCCTTCGAACATTTCCCAACACAGTGGCATGAAGTGGGATCTCTTTCTGCCTTTAATTTGCATTGCTCTCATTATTCATGAGGCTGAGCACCTGTGTGTATGCATGTGGGCCATTTATGCCCTGTCCTCTTTTATTTTCCCCTTTCTCCTTTGTAGCAAAGGCCAGCAATCCTTTTCTCTAAAGGGCCAGATAGTCAATGTTTTTGGATTTGTGGGCCATGCAATCTGCGTCATAATTACTCAGTGCTGCCATTGTAGTCCAAAGGAAACCATAAACAGTATGTAAATGACTGGCTGTGGCTCCGTCCCAATAAAACTTTATTTAAAAAACAGGGAGCGGGCCAGATTTAGTCCCTGGCTTGTTTGATTTATGGGACTTCCTTACATATGCTGAATGTACCTTTTTTTTCTTATGTGTAGCAAATTTTTTTTACTAGATGTAGTGTCTTTTCATCTAGTATATCATACTTTTGATGAAAAGAATTTCCTATTTTAATTACTATTTTTAAAAGTGAGTAAGATTTGCTGGAACTCAGAATCTGCCTGGGTTTATTTCCCATCTTATTTTGAATATGATCAGGACTTTCTGGGAGTCCAGTGGGAGAGCATCTAATAATTAGGTACCTGATACACAGATGACCTCATCTCAGTGTGCAGGTAGGAAATTGTCTTGCATAAAAGCAGGGAAAATGCAGAGCCGAGAGCCTGGTCTCCAAGGCCCCACATCGGAGCAGCACAGCCTGCTTGGGAAGACCCAAGAGACGCCCAGGATGGGGCATTTCCCCCCGCAGAGACACTGGGAGCACTTACCTGGTTTGATGGGCTGCCTATTTGAGAAGGTCAGAGGTGCAACGAGGAATTTGGTCTCTGCAACTGGCACCCAGTGGTGAAGGATTTTCACTGTCCAGACCCCAGGCCGCAGGGGCAAGTTCAAAGGGGGCTTGTAGTGAGTGAATTCGGCAGTGGATTCAATCAGGATGTCGTAGGTGGCTGCGATGATGTTGACAGGATCCACCCAGATGACAGTCACAGTGACATTGGGGCCCTTCCCCCATTTCTGCATGCCCACCGGCTCATCCATGGGCCCCAGGAGACCCCCAAAGTTGCGAAAGAGCCGCTCCTTGGCATCCCAGTCGGTGCCGACCTGAAACAGAGAAGAGTCCTGAAATCACAGAGCCTGACTTAGGATACAGGGTCCCAGAGAGGTCTACGATCCTGCTTGTTGGGCTCCATATACCCATTTTACAGATGAGGAAATGGAAGCTCCCAGTAGGTCACCTGCTCAAGACTGCACAAGTGGTAGTAAGCAGAAGATTTGAGATTTGGACCCGGTCTGTGGTCTGTTCATTAAACCCCTGGGCCTCCCATGCCTCATACAGGAAAGTAAACACGCAGCATGACTGAACAAATCCATGCCTGGGGCAGGCCGTCCCGAGGACACGTACGCCCCACCATGCAGCAGGCATGGGTGGTTTCCACTCTGCTTCTCTGTCTTCTAGACCAGGCACCTCCATTTAGTACGATGTTCTGAACACGATGGAGCTCAGGTTTCCGAGCTGCTCGATCACAAGCTGGGAAAACGGAGGGTCTCTCAGCCTCGCCTAGCGCCGGCAGGAGCTCGCATGGCTTTCCTAGGAAGAGACAGCTGTGGCCTCCCTCACGCACTCAGAGCTGGACCTTAGGGGAGGAGGTGGCTGTGACACCCATCCTTCCTGCCAGCCAGCTGGTGTCTGTGTGGCTCTGACGTGCCAGGGGCCTGCTCTTGGGCTTCCCCCCCCCACTTCTGCCTCCTGCCATTTGTTCCTGAGCTGCTCGCCAGGAAGAGCCTGTGAACTGTCCTCTCACGAGCCCCCTGGGCTCTCCCGGCGCCTGGCACCATGCTTGGCGCACAACAGGTGTCCATGTCTGGTTACTCTCTGTCTAATCAATGAGTGACTGACTTCACAAAGAAACGAACGGACTACATGGATCCCTGATACTGAGCCCTGTTACTATTTCAAATCAACTTAAATGAGGGGTCTTCTGCTCCCCCAGGAGGTTTAATTGTGTTTTTGAGGACACAGCATGTGGGTACGTTGCTAGCAGATAATGAGCACACTGTAAGGCCTGCCTGTTTCTGTGGTCTTTCCATGACCAGCATCTCGGATGCGTGTGTGCAGGTCGGGGTACAGGTGCGGGACTTCACATCGGCACCCGGAGAAGCTAGCTCGTGTGCAGTGCTGCATACTTTCTCTAAGACGCACAGCTCTGTGGCCCGTGCTTACCGAGAGCTTACCTTGGGATGAGTATAATGCTGAGTACGCCAACGCACTGACTTGAGTCTCTCCGCTCCATGAAGAGGACACCCCGTCATTATCCTCATTTTACAAAGAGAAAACTGAGGCTCAGGACACTGAGGTCACTCATGGTCAGTGAGGGGCAGAGCCAACACGGGGGCCCAGGAAGTCCAACCCCAGAGGCTGTCTGTTCTTATCCACTCTTCTGTGTTGCCTGTCATTCACTCACTCACTCATTCCTAAGTTCACTCGACACATATGTGCCGGACGCCTGCTGTGTACCAGGGACACACGCTCCCACAGCCTGTTCCCGGGGTCCGTCTTTAGACCAGAGCCTAGGGACAGGCTGAGGAGCTGTCCTATGGGCAGCACAGGGAGTGACTGCTGTGGCACTTCGGCAGGGGTGCTGGCCCCCCAGACTGAGGAGACGAGGCACCCTCTGCTGCCCCGTGGGGCAACTTCCCCTGAGGCCCTGCTATGGCTCAGTGGCTGGAACACAGCAGAAGGAAGCCGATCCCACTTACTGAAGAAATGAATGAGCAGGATCCCAGCCAGCCTCCAAGTCTTGAGACTTTTTCTAAAGGAACCCCAATCCTGCTTCTTTCCCTACGTTCAACCTCAGTATTCTCCCCTCCAGGCTCATCCCCACCCTGTGAGGTAGAGCCCCTTTCCATCTGGCTTCATCTCTACCCCTCGCCCTCCCCGCCACTCACCCCTGCTCCAGGACACCTGGATGACCCTCGGCGCCTCTGTGAGGAGGGCTGTCTCTCATCTCTGACCTTTCCTTTGTTCCTGGCCCTCTGGCTGCAATCCCCTTCCTTCCTTTCCGCACGTCATCCTGTTCTCCCTCCTCACGCAGAGCTCTGCCGAGGCGTCAGCTCTACGCAGAAGCCGTCCCAGTTGGACGCACCACCCAGCTGCTTCTCCAGTGTTTTCTTGTTAAATGTTTACTTTGATAGAGCGAACAAGCACGGGCGGAGGAAGGGGAAGGACAGAGACAGAGGGGGGACAGAGGGGCTGAAGCGGGCTCTGTGCGGACGGCAGAGAGCCCAATGTGGGGCTCTAACTCCTGAGCCATGAGATCGTGACCTGAGCAAAGTCCGATGCTTCACCAGCAGACCACCCAGTGCCCCACGGTGCTCCTCTAAGTGTTTGCCCATCTCAGTTTTTGTTTTATTTTACAACTTTTAAAACTGCGTCTCTTTCCTTAGCTCCAGACTGTCCACTCCATGAGGAGAGGGGCTGGATCTCTGGTGCCTAAAGCAGTGCTGAGCACATGGTGGTGCTGTCTGTCTTTCCCCCTCACCCATCCATCCTCTGTCCACGTCATGAATAAGTAGGGGCCACACACGTGGCTGTCTCTGCACGCCCGGCCCCGTACATGCTGGCTTTCCCACAGACACTAACAAATGGATGAGTGGTCACCAAATTGTTGGGGTCCTACTTAAGGAAGGGGTTTGTGACCATTTAGGGCAGTGTGGGGACACTCCACGCTGGCATCCTTGGATTCCCCAAAGAAAGGGGGCATGAGTTCTCTCAAGTCTTGCTAAAACCAAGACCGCCCAGATGAAGATCTGGAGAGCAGCTGTCAGCGGAGAAGCTGGGTCCCATATCCAGTCCTAGAAGAGTGAGCGGAAGGCTGGCCGCCGTCCCCAAGAACGAGCGGGGCTGGGGCTGCCTGAGATGGAGCCCCACTGCCATCACTACCCCTGGTGCTTCAAGGTCTTCCCACAGACTCACTGTGCAGGCCCACAAACACCACACAGTGATCACTACGCAAATTTAAGTGCATGATCAAGTTCAACATATGGCTCCCCAACTTCAAACCCACTAAAGACTTCTCGCTGCATTTAAAATACAATCTGAGCCTTCCTTCCAGGGCCTTCAAGCCCCCTGATGATCTGCCCCATTCCTTCTGAAACCTCCCTTCCACCCCTCTCCCTCTCCCTCTGCTCTGGTCACACTGGCCTTGCTGCTCCTTATGTGTACCAAGCTCCTTCCTGGAGCCTCAGGGCCTTTGCACACACATGCTCTTCTCTCTGCTTGGAATGCTCCATGTCTCCCAATGGATGGTTCTTTTCTATAGTATTCTGCTCTGCAGTAATCTCCTTAGAGAAGCTTTCCCGCATGAACCATCCCATTGAAAGTGGTCCCCGTCGGCCTCTCAGTCCTCCGCAAGGACATGAATGAAGTTTTATGTTCTTTAGCTGAAATGTTTTTCTTCATTTATTTGCTCACTCATAGGCTCACTTACCCACCCAACTGCAATTCCATGACAACAAGAACCTGGACTGTCTAGTTCCCCACGGGCTCTCTGCACCTAGTACACTGTCCACGTGGTGACCGCTAAAGGAATGAGCCTCTTTTCTGCTGGCCACCGCACGGCACTACCATGGATGGAGACATCACTCTGGCTGCCCGCCAGCAACGGTCCCCTGCTCTGAGCCAGGCCCTGCTCAGAGCCCTGGGGCTGTGCCGCTGCGAGGGGGCTTCCTTACTGTTCTCCCCTTTCTTCTTGTCCAGTTTTATACTGTTTGCCTTAAAAATTATTAGGACTTCAGGAAAAAATTCAATACAAAATGCGGGTCCCCGGCCTCACACGCTGGCACTCTGCCAGAGGTCATGGTGGTTCTCACATCAAGGTTACCAGCCCTAGGGTAGAAACTCTCACCAATCACTAGCCACTGAGTGGCCAACCTCATCTGTCACTGCCAGAAGTGCCCAGTTACTCACAGGCAGGCTGATAAACAGGGAGAGCCCGGCCACCAGGCATCCATCTCGTTAATGGGACGTTAATGTCTTCAATTGGCCGCCAGGGCCCCCAGCGCAGAATCCAACTGGGGCAGTGTCTAATTGCCCCCTGACGCCCGTAATTTATGGAGTCGGCTTCCACGGCAGCTTGAAGCCAGCCAATCCATTTGGATCCTTAATTGAAAATGGCGGCTTAACACAAAACCCCACGCAGTAGGGCACAGCTCGGCAGGGTGGGCCACCGGCTGCCAGCAGGGGACAGGCAGGGACAATGTAAGCAGGTGGGTTCCTTCCCGCCCACTCCCGCCCACTCCCAGCCCTTCAAGCTACTCCGTATTCTAAAACCAGACTCTCCATCGCTAACCCAGCAGCCCGGCTCACTGGGACCGCTCAACTCCAGGGGTGAGTCACATTCTCCGGCTCCTTGCTGACAGGCGGAAGGCAGAAATCAGGTGCTGGAGTTTTGCGTGGGCGACCCTCACCACACTGGGTCGTGCTTCCTTTCCTCAGGCATCCCCTACCCAAGTGCATGCCCTCCTTCATTAAGACATCATATTTAGCACCTACCAATGCTGGATGCAGGGAGCACAGTCCCAGCTTTCTTGAGGACAATCAGCAAGTGATCAGAGAAACCAACAAGATGATTTTAAATGCTAAGTGCTAAGAAAAGGAAACAATAAAATAGGTACGTGTCAAGTGGAGAATTTACTCTTGTGGCCTACGGAGGAGGGAGGGAGGGACGGCTTCTCTGATGGTTCACCATTGGGATGCAGATCACAATGACAAAAAAATAAATAAAAAATAAAAAAAGCTACCCCGTGAAAACCTGGGGGCAAGTATTCTAGGCAGGCAGAAGGGCAAGCAGAGGAGAGTGATGCCTGAGGAGGCTGGAGACACGGGGGCCAGACCGGGCCTGCGGGTATGGCTGATGTTAGAGGGGTGGTGCTGGGCAAACAAAAACTAAAACTGCATCCCATGGATCCATGTACCCACACATCTGTCTGTCTCTCCAGTGGCCCACCTGCCCATCCATCCGTCTACCCAGGTGTCCATCACGTGTGTAGCCAGCCAGCCACTCGTTCACTCACTGACTGATTTGAATCAAGCCCCGTGTTAGGAACTAGGGAGATGAAAAGACCTTTAAGTGTGAGAGATGCGGCCAGAGACACCTGGGCTAAATTTTGAGCTCTACCACCCACTTCCTAGCTGTGATCCAGAAAGTTCTTGGCCCTCCATCGGCCTCAGTTTTCCAGTCTGTAAAAGGAGACTAATGCCATCAATTCATTACAATACCTATTGCTGATATAGGTTTAAGCGGCGTCACCGGGTAGGATGAAAAATTAAGAGGAGTATAGACTGTACTGTAAAAGAAAAACGCAGACCAAGGTTTCAGGTCCGTTTGGTCTGCTGATACTGGCCGCTCTGTCCCTCTCCTCCTTCCCTGTTTAGGAGGCCAGCTCCAGTGCTCGGGGCTGGAAGACCTTCTCTGGGTACAGCGTGAGCTATCTTCTGGGCTCTCCAAGTCCCCTTCTCTTCCACCTCCATCCACAAGTGCCAGACTGGGAAACAGAACCCCGCAGGGGGCCCATGCAAGACAACGAAGCGTGACAGTGTCTGGACTCTTACCTCAGAAAACTGGAGCCTCCTGAAGTCACTGGGTGGACTTGCAATCTTGAAGACTTTCTTTGGCATCACCCACGTCTCCAGGGTCTCGAGTTTGCTCACGGCCAGATTGGTCGCGTGATGCTTGATCAGAAAGCCCTGGAAGCGGTCAGCAAGGAAGTAGAGGTGGACGGAGGCTGGGTGGCCCATTGGGTAGTACCTGTAACACATACACACTCTTGCACCGGCTCACGCGGTAGGTGAGCCGCGCATATGCCGGTGCCGTTCCAAAAACAGGCCCCGTTTTACACAGGGCAGACCACGGCTCTTTGCACCATCCGGAAAGCTGCTCCCTGTGTATCTCGGGTCCCAATAACCATAAACGGCTGCTTGGCTGATTATAAATGTAAAAGATGCTGACTGTACAAAAGCACAATAAAGAAAATAAACATTATTACGTTTGATGCTTCTTCCCATAGAGGATTTATTGACCTTCTGCTGCTCGGTGCCAGGAAGTGACAACGGTGTGCCGGCGGTGCCATACTGATGTATTTCCCTTCAGCCTCATTTTCTATGCATATATTTGCATAAATCTGACATACTCGGGGTCATAACATACATTCTGCTTATATCCTGCTTTTGCTTCATAGTATCACCCAAGCATTATCCCACGCAGTTTTTTTTGGGGGGGGGGGCATCTCTCTCTCTCATCTCCAACAGTCTCTTTATGTGTGCTGTTCCACTTTATCAGAAAGGTTGTGCTGATTTACTCTCCCACTGTTCTTCTCCAATAGCACTGGGTATTATCCCTAAAAATGGTTGCCGATCTGAGATACGTACATGCTCATGAATAGGGAGTGCCTTAAGACACATGCCTTTGATACTCAAAGTCTTGCCAGCTGAAAGGGGTAGGGAATTTAAGCAGAGGTATCCCGAGGAGTCGGGGAGAGGGGTGCAGAGAAAGGAGAGTTGTGGACAGTTCAGCTCTTTGTCCTTATGCGTGAAATAAAAGCTGTCAGCTACTGCGATGTGTACACTGCATAGCACTCAGGAGGTGCGCTGGCCTCTCGGAACAGCATTCCACAAATCATTGCCCCCGCCTTGGCCTTCCTTCCCTCTGGGGGAAGAAAGCACGAGTTTAGGTCTTGATGTCCAATTATAATGGTCAGGGAAGCTGCCTTCCTGTGTTTAGGCATCTCCCAAAGTCCTGTCTTGTTACTGGGATGCTGCAGGGGCTCTGAGAAAAAAAAGCCTGCACTGTCTTGGGATTACCAGTCGGGCATCTCAGGCTGATGCAAACCTTGGGTCTGGATGCTGGGAGCCACGCCCCCCCACCCCCCCACCACGTTGCAGAACTTTCCGCCATGACGGGAATGCTTCTCACCTCTGCTGTCCAATACAGTAGCAGCCAGCCACCTGTGACTCCTGAGCACGAGAAACGAGGCTAGTGTGACTAAGGAGCTGAAGTCCGAGTTTTAGTTAATTTAAATGTGACTGCTCGCCTGTGGCCGGTGGCCACTGTGGAGGGCACAGGGTTGTGGAGGGGTCTTGTGCCAGCCTGCATTGATGTCCCCAGCCCTTCACCCCGCCCATCTCCACGTCCTTTTCCATTTGACTCTGTGTGTCTCCCCGCACCAGTGAGCCAGTCCAGTTCTCCGTCTTGAACATGCTTTGGCCAGTGGGGTGTGGTAGAAGGGGTGCCATACCAGTTCTGGGCCAGAGCCTCAGAAGTCTCGCGCATTTCTACTTGCTGTTCTTGCTCTTTTGTGACTACCCTGAGAGCACGCCTGAGCTCACTTGCCAGGGCATGAGGCACACAGAGCAAGAGCAGGGCCATCCCCATCGTCCCAGCTGAAACCATCCTAAATCTGATGACAACTCTCGCCTGCGAGCAACAGAGTCCCACGCCCGAGCTGCAGCTGGCTGTAGGTGTGGGAGAGACACCGGCTCTGACCGGGAGAACCGCCCAGCTGACCCACAAACTTGAGCGCCGTGTCAGTGCTGATCAGTTCAAAACACTGCTTTGGGACCTGTTTGTTACGCGGCATCATTGTGATAGATACTCTGTGTTTGTTCTGTCAGATGGGTGGGGTCAGTGAGGGTGGATGGAAAGTAGGAGAGCTTGTCCTGGGGGTCGAGAGATAAAAGTGGTTCCAGAAGGGAGTGGTCAGTGGTACTGGGGGCTGCTAAGAGGTCAAGTAAATGGCCATGGTCAAGCACCTAGAGACCCAGGAGTCAGTCTGCCTGCTTGCCGCCCCCACCTTCTGTCAAGAAGTCCTGCTGTTCCCACCTGAATCCATCCTCTCTTCTTGTGCACAGCTGGCATTGTAATCCAAGCTACCATTCTGCCTTACTTGACCCTTTCCAGGAGCTTCCTTGCTTGTTCTTTCCTACTTTGTCCAGTGTAACCGACTTTTAGTAGCCATATCCACTGTCTATTGCTTAGATACCACAGGCGGTTTGCTTGATGCCTGTGAGAAAATCCGGCCTCCTCACATGGCCTATACGGTCCTGCCTCTGCTTCTAGCCTCATTTTGTTTTCCTTTGCCCCACCCCCCACCTTCTAGCCACATGGATTCTTTATTTTGGATTCTTGAACATGCTAAGCTCGTTTTTACCTGAGGGCCTTTGCACAGGATAAACTTTTTCCTGGGGGTGCTCTCCTCCTGTTATGTTGCATGTCTGGCTCTGTATTCCCATTCTGCACAAATGTCAGCACCTCAGAGAGGTCTTGCTTGTCCAATGAATCTTAGGTCACCAACTCATTGCTACCATGTGGCTTTTCCTTCATCCTCAGCAGAGCCTTTATTCACTCTTACTGGTCCTTTGTTAGATTTGAAGTACGGTCTTTACACTAGAATGGGAAAGCTTTGAGCTCAGGGGCCTGGTCTGTCTGGGTCACAGCTGAGTGCACCATGCCTAACATAGCCTGACACATGGGAGATGTGTCATGTTGTTGCATGTTGACTGAGTGAAAATTCTAGAAGGATTTTCTTTTGAACCTTTTGCTTCTCAGGTGCCTCTAGGGTACATGTGACCCAGGACTGAAAACAAAGTCCTGTGACACCTCCTCTTGACTGTATATGGCATTTAAGCAATCAAAACTAAGACAAGGGGCGCCAGGGTGGCTCGGTCGGTAAGTGTCTGACTCTGGCTCAGGCATGATATCACGGTTTGCAAGTTCAAGCCCTGCGTCGGGCTCTGTGCTGACACCTCAGAGCCTGAAACCTGCTTCGGATTCTGTGTCTCCCTCTCTCTCTCTGCTCCTCCCCTGTTCACACTCTGTCTCTCTCAAAAGTAAATACACATTAAAAAAACTAAGAGAAGTAGTTTTAATTAGGTGCAACACAATATGCAAGATACGCGATACAACCCAGAGGGTGCCACAGAAGCATCCCATGTGGCCCAAAGGTGTTTTTCTTATTTAAACAAGGTGGGCATTGAAAAAAATTAGACTCCCTCAAAAATCTGGATTTCTAATTTTTCTTGAAATATCAGGACACTGGGTGGCAACTTCAAGTCTACAATTCCCAGAGGGCAAGAATGTGCTGGCATTCAGTGACAGGGCCCACGGGTGCTCCAGACTGGCATGGTCAGCCCACCCCGCGGGGGCTGGCGCTGACTGCCACCTGCTATCTGTCTGGCCCTGGGGAGCATTTAGATTTGAGCACCTGTATTAAAATACTGACATCTTTATCTCTGGAGGGTGGCTCAAAAGGAAACTTTATTTATTTATTTTTTTGTTCTCTCAATTTGCCATTTCAAAAATTTCTGCGATGAACATGTGTCATTTTATAATGAGAAAAAAAAATCAATAAACATTACTTTTATGAAAGGTTATGCTATAGACTGAAAGGACAATTTGCATTAAATGCCCAGAGGAAACGAGACTCTGAAACAAGGTTTCACTTGCTATTTCCCCAGACACCCCACAGGCAGGAATTCATTCTCTGTTGCCTTTTGGGATAAGGGTCCTTTGTCCTGATTTATTTGCAGGCGCACATCCATAAATATATCTGCTTTGCCCACAGCAAGGCACAATGGTTCTATTATAATAAAAAATGAGATAGAAGCCAAAGGATTCTAGGCCAGAGGCAACTTGATGGCTTGTTTAATCCCCAAACAAATACCAGGAGAATATTTCGACAACCCTAAATAAATTGGGGGTGTCTTTTGGAATTTCGTCTAAGGTCATTTACCTTATAAATTCCATCAAGTCTGGGATTAAAACTATCCTCGAACAATATTCGCCTCCCCAGAGTCAGGCACCGAGTCAGTCACCTACGGGGATGCACGTGGTGGCTCTGCTGGCAGGGATCTGGCCCCAAACAAGCAGGAGGGGAAAGACACTGGTGATGACCTTGACCTGGGGCACTGCAGCTATCAACATGGGAGCGTTGGAGGGACGTCTGAGCTACTGTCAGCTTAGGGAGGGGTGGGGCTCTTGGGGGAGCCCCTGATGAGCTTCACAGAGGCCCAGGAGCTGATCTTCAAAGACTGGGGAAGAGTGTGCTGCACAGGGCACGGGGAGGCGCTGAGCACAGGGAAACACAGAGAGCCAAGGAGCAAGCGGTTCATACCCGCTATGAAGTGTGCAGCTCCCACACCGGGCTCAGTGTTGACTGCTTTTGGCAGCTTCATGATAACGGCAACTGAGATACAGACAGTGACATGCGTACTTACTGAGCGCTTAGCACGTAAAGCACTTAAAATGGTGATAATGGTGACACGTAGCTCAGGAGGCAGTGTTTGAAGATGAGCTCCGTTAAAACTCACACCACCTTATTGATACTATGTGCATCTTATAGACGAAGAAGCTGAGGCAGAGAGATTAATGACTTGTCCAAGGTCAAGAGGTATGAAGTGCAGTTCTGGGCTCCCAACCCAGGCTGGTCTCCCTTCAAACTCCATCAGAGCTCGTGGGGAGAGGAGAGGCGAAGTCTGAGGCCAGGAGGAGAGAACAGAACCGTCTGCTAAAGCCCAGCTGGCTCTGCACCAGGCCCGGGGCTGACACTCCCATGTATGCAGGCGTTTAGGGAACAAAAGAGTTCTTCTTTCTTCTCTTCTTCTGCTCCCCACAAAGGGGAAGAGCGAGGCATGGAGGGACACCGGGGAGGCCTCAGTGTAGACAGACTGTTGTTCCCCACCCAAAAAAATGTTTTCTCTTTGTAGTTAAAAGGGGGAGGTGCGATGAGGAAGAGAACGGAGAACAACAAAGAGAGGGAAAGTGATTAAAAGCACTTTTGGGAATCCATCCTAAGGAAGTCATCACAAAAGGAAAAAAAAGAAAAACAGAGGCTTTCTGCACAGTCACCCGAACATTATTTACAATGGTCCGTTACTGCCAATGCAACAAGAAAGGGCGGGATTAGGCAACTCTGGAATTTCGACTCAATGGAATCCTTGCAGGCATTAAAGAGGATCATTATCATTAGGGAAGCAGCAAAGCAGCATGAGGAAAAGGGGCGATTATTATAACGCCAAATGAAAAAAAACCCAGAACTCCAAATTCTTGGTGTAATTATGTAAACATCTGCAGTGCGCATTGCTGGTACGGAAGAGGCCAGCAAAAGAGATGAGGGCTGGAGGGCTTTGGGAAGGCCGGGGAGGGGACCACGGTGAAGGATCTTCCTACCTTCCCCTCTTTCCATATATTCTAGAACACTCTTTCTTCAAGGGTCCACTGGTACCTGCCAGTGGTGGGTGAGATGACTCTAAGGGGTACCCGAACGTCCTAAATAATAGTTCTGCATTTTAATGGCGCTTCTGGTTATATTTTTAGGTGTACCAGTGATAGTATGGTTATGTTTTTAAAAGGAGTCTTTATTTTTCAGAGATACATATTAAAGTACGTATCGCTCAAATGATAGGACGTCTGGGATTTGCTGCAAACTATCTGATCTGGGAGGAGGGGTAAATGGGCAAAGGCCAAGAGGAAATCGCCAGGGCCCCTGAGCTAGAGATTGCTAGAACTGTGTGATGGGAGCACGGGGTTGCACTCTCTGTTTCTTATATACCTGACATTTTCTGTAATAAAAAGGGAAAAAAAAAAACCCAGTTCTGTATTTTCACTGTTACCTTCTACTTTGGACAAACACCACTATGTAACATGGTGATCTCAGCCTTCCCTGTAAGACACACGTACTTCGCATAAACACGAACGCGCTGCAAGGGAACAATTAGGTCAACAGTAGGCTTGGCATCCTGAACGAGCAGCAGTGTGACCTGGCTTAGAAAGGAAGAGCGCCGGCCCCTGGGATGGTTCAGGTGCTTTTCAGGCCCCAGGGAGACTGGGAGAGGTGAGCTGTGCGACTGCGGCCCCCGGGGAAAATGCGGGGGTCCCCACGCAGCAGCCCCTTCCGGTGCTGTGCCGCCTCCCCCCTGCACCCAGTGCCCCTTCTCCCCACCCACGCTCACCGGCAGCTGTTCTCCCCATCCACGTGCAGCGACGACTCGGCGCGCCGGAGGCCCAGGCGGGCGAAGGAGTGATACAAGGTGAGCGCCACGTCGCTCAGGCTGTGGGTGCCATCTGGCTCATCGTACACGTTCTCCCAGTAGGAGCGGAGCCCCGGGGTGCCCGCAGGGTAGTTCCCGTACAGGTAATAGTCCAGCTGCCCGATGATTTCCTGATTCACCACGGCTTCGAATTTCCGGGCGAAGAAGGTGGGCCTGGCTGTCTGCTGTGCTCGTGGGATAAAAAGAGCAGCGTCAGGGAGTCGGGTGGGGGGAGGGCGGGGGTCTGGGGATCAGGGCTCATCCGGCAAGCCACCCTGTCTGGACCCACATCCCAGCTCTGACACTTACTCAGCTCTCTGTCCTCAGTCTCCCCATCTGTAAAGTGGAGATCCTAAGTGTGTTAGGACTGAATGAGTTAATATTTGGAGAGCATTTAAAGCAATGATGGGCACAGAGTAAGCATCATTTAAATGTCTGTTAAATAAATTACGTCCTAGATGTTTATAGCTGAGATGGATCTCAGGAATCATTTTAGCTGGAGGTCTAGGGCAAATACAGCCTACAGATATATTTTAGTTGTCCAGCGGAGTGTTTTCAAATTGAATTAGCTGGCAATATTTAAAAAGTACACGAGTTCACAGAAACAACTTTTAGCTTTCCTTTAAACAGAAGCAGATCTGGTAACACCCAGGCCCGTGTCCCTATATGGGAACAACTGCTCAAAGCTGGACAGCAGCGGGGGTGCCTGGGTGGCTCAGTCAGGTAAGTGTCAGACTCTTCATTTTGGCTCGTCATGATCCCAGGATCGTGGGATCGAGCCCCACGTCAGGCTCTGCACTGAGCCTAGAGCCTGCTTGCGATTCTCTCTCCCTCTACCCTTCTTCCCTGCTTGCATGGAAAAATCAAGAAATAAAATATAAAAGCTGAAAAGCAGCTGTCCTTTTAGATGGGCATGGACTCTTAAGCTCACTATAGTCTCTACCACTCCCTGCTGTCTCCTGGGCACTGTGGCTGATTTACAGACTCAAAAGGAACTCCCACAGGTACTGATCAGAAGAATCTCTGGGAGTGAGGCTTAGGAATCTACATTCTTAACAGGTTTGCGAGGTGATTCTTTTATAAGACTCGAGGATAACATAAATGATGCCTGGCTGGGCTACACACCACAGTCAATTGAACAGTTTTAAGAAATTCAGATTCTGGGGTCCGTCCCCAGGCCTACAGATCAACATCTCTGGAGATGAGGTTCAGGAATCTGGAGGCAACTAAACTTCTCAGGTGATCATGGTACAGTGTTCAGAGACCACTTACGTAAACCAAGTTTTCAAGGAAACAGGCCCAGAGAGGGAAACGGACTTATCTAAGGCCACACAGCAAGATAATGACAAAGCTGCGATGAAGATCCGGAGTTGAGGATAAAGGAGTAAAATATTGACCATCCTCTGATCTACCAGGTCATATACTAATATCTGTGCGGGGATCAACAAAGAGCCACGTAGTTAATATTTCCAGCTTGGCAATGACTCAACTCTTCTGTCGTAGTGTGAAGGCAGCCACAGAGCAAATGCAGCCATGGTAAATAAATGGGTGTGGCTGTTTTCCAAAAAAACCTTTATTTACAAAAGCAGGGAGTGTGCTGGATTTAGCACAGGGGGTGTAGATTGGTGACCCCCTTCTAGCACTATGCAAACAACTAAAACCCAGCCCTCCCTTGAGGCGCTAATGGGCTAGTGCTACTACTGACCTTAGGCAGGGTCTGGCTCTGTTTTCACTGTAGGGGATTAATAGCATCAAGGACTATAAAAGCCAGTGAGCACATACTCTCCCCTGAACACTATGTTCATGTCACCACCTCGGATTCTCAGCTCTGCAAAGCAGGCATTAGGACTTTTGTCTGACACAGAAGGAAAGTGAGCTCAGAGAGGGGAAGTGATATATACACTCTCACACAGCCGTAGGATTCGAACCCACATCTGATGACTCTCAAACCCAAGCTCTTTCCACCGCACCATCCTAGGACTGAGCTGCTGAGTAAGCTGGAAGCCCCCCAAGACACACATCCTTGGCATTATTCTGAATATGCCCTAGCTTCTCTGCTTCATGAACCTTGTGATGTTCACAGACAGTATTTAAATAATATTCCCACCCTCCCTGGGGGTGGGGGTCAGTTCAGTTCCTTTACAGTAGTGCTGGAAAGAGACCACTTGGGGTCAGATCCTTACTCTGCTACTTCCTAACTATATATGTCTTAAGGCAAATCACCCAGGGCCTCAGCTTTCTCATCTTTAAAATGGGTATAATAATATACATGGTTAGCACGGAGTCTGGCACACAGTGTTAGCTGCTCTTATAATGTGACTATCATCACTACACCCTGAAGCCTTCTGCGAGGGACTTCTAGGTCTCCATGTTCTCGAGGCAGAGAATGGACTCAGAGGCCGGGCAGCCTCATCCGCTGCTTGTGATTCTTTATTCACAGCTGTATCTTCTAAAAGGGCATGTTTCTATATTTATCACTCTTCTTTGAACAAGAACTCTGAGTTCCTTACAGGCAGCAGTTTCTTAGAGGCTAGATGTTGGGGGATATTCTTGATCTCTGTTTACTGTGAAAGAAATAGCTGTGAGCACGTGTGAGGTCCCTGTGTCCGCGCGTGGCTACCAGAGACCACGGTGTTCCTGGGAGGCTGGGGCTGGAAGGCAAGCGCCGCCACCAGGGGCAGCATCCCACGAACCTCCACGGCCACTTGATTGAAGTGATGAAGGACCGTTGCATTGAGGGAAACAGCTGGTTTTCTACAAAAGTGGGGATTTACTTTTTTTTTTTTTTTAACTTTTGAATAGGTCAGCTATTCCCCCAGCAAGCCTCTTTCTGCTCAGCAGATCCTTTCTGCGTGGACAAAGGAGTTAAATGTCACCCAAGTTCGTACCTACATTAACATGGGTTTGAGGAGGTCCCCAGGTGGCTCTTAATCTGCCACCAAAAACAGGGCTAAAAAAATACTGATTGCAGCAACCACTTACAGAGGTAAAAGACGCTAGGTGGGCACCTTTAGGGAATCTGAATAATGAGATGAAACCCTCTGTGTGTTCTGCACCTGCATGGACACGAGAACAGGGTGGCAACAGGTTCTGGTGGAAAAGGCCCAGGTCTGCAACTGGGAGCACCTGTGAGCGACCGCCAGGCCTGCCGCTCCATTCTGTGTCCGTGGACAAGAAAGTTAGCCCCCCCCGTGCCTCAGTTTCCCCACTTGCACAACGGAGATGCTGCCTACCCCAGGGAAGCCAAGGTCCCCAGAAGGCCCGGTACAGAGCCTCGTATAGGCCAGTTGCTACCCCTGCGCTTCTCATAAATAGCCTCCCATCCACGTGGGGATCTTATTTATATGCAGATTCTGACCCGGCCCAGCTGCAGCAGCAGAGATTCCAGACTTCTAACAGCTCCCTGGTGATGCTTATGCCCGTAGCCTCTGGACTGCTTGCTGAGGAGCCTGGTAAGAGACTGGAAGCTCCATTCGGGTGGCCCGTGTCCTCCCGTGGATGGTGCTGTTATGTGCCAGAGGGAGTGTGCGGGGGCGCCGCAGCCGGGGTGGTCCGCCTGCACTCCCTGTGTGTCAGTGGCTGGGGAAGAAGCGTACCGTCTCCACGTGCTGGCTCCAGTGACCTCGGGTGATGTGTCTAACCATTCTGTAGCATTCTGCTTGCTCTCTCAGCAGCAGGGGCCAGGGCACGGTGAGGGGGGTGAGGAAGGAGCGGGATGGCACTCACACAGGATGGGAAGGGGCCGCCATCCTGAAGAGAGCTGGGAGCCAAGCATCCTTGGCGCTCATGGAAGCAGATGGAACACGTAATACCCCTGCCTCTGCGCTCCCAGAAGCGTAAGTTGCCAGGTCGCGCTGAGACACTGTGGTGGCAATTAACGCTTCTACCTCTTCTGACTTCTTGAGGTTCACAGAGCACGGTGTTTTCCAAACCCGACTGCTCATCAGCATTTTCCAGAGTGTAACACAGCAAAATAAAAATTCCTGGACCTCAGTAGAGATCAGAAATTCTCAAGCGGGGGTGAGTTTGCCCCCAGAGGACATCTGGCGATGACTGGCGACATTTCTTATTGTCACAACTGGAGTGTGTGGCCAGATCTAGTGGCTGGCACCCAGGGATGCGGCCTCAAATCCAACAATGCATGGGACAGCCCCCCACAACTGAGAACTATCCAGCTACCATGTTCGGTGTGCTGAGGTTCAGAAACTCTGCCCTGGGTATCCTCAACTTTGAACCCAGAAGTATCTTTCTACTGAGTATTTTAGGGGATTCTGATTAAAAGGCAGTACAGAGAAATAGATTTGGAAACATAAGTTGGCCTATGGGACCTCGAGTTTTTTTTACCTTTCTATGCCTCAGTTTCTCTATCTCTAAAATAGAATAATAATAATACTATCTCAGGATGCCTGGGTGGCTTAGTCAGTTAAGCATCCAACTTCAGATTAGGTCATGATCTTGTAGTTTGTGGGTTCGAGCCCTGCACCGGGCTGTGTGCTGACAGCTTGAAGCCTGGGGCCTGCTTCAGATTCTGTGTCTCCCTGTCTCTCTGCCCCTCCCCCGTGCGCCCCCCCCACCTCTCTCTCTGTCTCTCTCTCAAAACTAAACATTAAAAAAATAAAACAGTAATACTATCTCTCTCCATGTATCTCACAAGGCTGACATGGGGTTCATGAGTCATTACAGGCCAAATGGCTAAAACTGCTGTGGCCTGGCCGTAAGTGATCAACGCCCGGTGGCCACAGCTGATGTGGCCACTGTTACTATGGACAGCGGGGGCTGGAGAGCGCAGGGCCAGAGGACTCGCAGGCCCGGCCTCGGATGCCTGTGGCCGTGTGCTGGGAGGCCCTGGACCAGGGCTGGCGGGGGCCCCGGGGGGCTCACCTGAAAACGGTGGAAGTCCTGCGGCTTGAAGTCGTTGGGGGAGCAGCCGCACCAGTCCACGATGTGCTTGTACTGGCACTTGCAGCCCAGCTTGCGGTTCCAGTTGGTGATGCGCAGGTTGTTGTCCACCATCGTGTCGCAGTGGGGGCTGTTCTCCAGCACCGTGTGGAAGAAGGACTGCGGGGAGACAGGGGCCCGCCTGAGACCTCCTCCAGCCTCCCTCAAGGGTGCTGGGTGGGGGGAGGTGGTCCCTTCCTCCAGGACCACCTGACTGCGCAGGGACTCTCCCGGACACTCATCGGTTCTCTCTGCAAGTGGGGTCAGCTGCCAGCCTGGTCCAACTCAGGCCACGTGGGACATTTCATCCAAGTGGCTTCATTCTGTTTGCAAGTCTAATGCTGTCTTTCCCCAGCAGTCTACAATCTGACTGCAAGATGTGTCCTATGGTTCACGGCATCTTCTGTCTGCCCGGCAGAGAGGAAAAGTCCCTCAGGTTATGTTAACACATGGGAACCAGAGGAAACGTGGTGACAATTTTCCGGAAAACCTTGGGCCAAAAGGGCTCATGCTTTGCAAATAGATCTGAAACCAGGGGATTCCTGTCTGTGGTGTCTAGACAACGACTGATGCTCTGGGATTTTACCCCTCGGTAAAGGAAGCCAGATTCATGGGTGTATCAGTCCTGGGGAGGGCTGGGGAGGGACCCAAAAGGTGCGGCCTCAGCCACAGAGGTGTAGGGAGGGGCAGGGCAGCTCTCTGTCCATGGTGCTGAACCAGGCTCCATTGGTTTCTTGGAATTCTTGGAATTCTAAGACTCTTGGCCAACCTGTCCTAGGAATCTGAGAAAGCAGCAATGCCGAGAGTGAAGAAAGAGACCAGAGAGAGGAGAGAGAGAAAGAGAGACAGAGACAGACAGGCAGGCCGACTTCTATTTGGACACTATTTTATAACAACCCCAGATAGCATGCAGATACATTCTCCCTGCTCTCTGCTCCCTATGGGAAGCTGTTTCGGGGATACATGTCTGCCTCTAACAAATTTATAGCTCAGCCTTTAGATTTACTCTAAACTGGTTTCCTAGAAGTGGTCTGGGAGAAAGGAGGGCAAGGCATGGATGCTGGAGTGTTAAGTGCCTGTGTGAGCTGGGGTGGGGCTGAGACAGCCAGTCAGCACCAGCATGGGTGCCTTGATTAAAACAGTCAGAGTCCCCAAACAGTCCCTTCTCAATGGGGGCATGGGCAAAACAAGGCTCCACCCATCACCTCCAGCTGCCCTTTTCTGTGCTGCTAAATGACATATGCCCGTGAACCTGGATTTTAAGCTTAAATTGTCTGCAAGCCCATAGAGGCATATATTCTCCATCAAGCGGTGGGGGAAGTTCCCAATTACCAATTGCCCTGTGTCCTTTCATAATGATACAGAAATTCCCTGAAGATAATGGATGAGGAGGTTATCGACATTGAGAGAAAAGGTGATTTTCACTGAAATAGGATTAAAGGCTGATTACCTAATGTGTGTGCAGAATAGTAAAACCTGGCCCAGTGATGACAAACCCATCATCACTCTGGAGTGACGTGGGCAGCCTGGCACTGCTCCAGAGGTCGGTGAGGGATGCGGAAGCCATCAAATGAGATGCACGGTCTCGTCTGGCCTACACACCGCCTGGGCCTGCAGCACAGCCAGGGAGAATTGGGAGACCACTCACGGGAGGTGTCATGGGCTCAACAGAAGGGGAGCCAGCTCTGGAGTTTCCTGAATTCAGAAATTAGGCTGCAAGGGAACTGTAGGTCAGGGAGCTGAATCGAGAACCCCTCAGTCCAGGTCTGAGAAGGCTGCTGGCCTGTCAGTGGCAACATTTCGGAACAGGGTCTCCACCCACTTCCACATGGAGCTGGGGCTGTTTCCGAGTGGCCTGCAGTCTTACACAACCGGGCTTCTGAAAGGGAGTGAGTGTTTGTGTCTCCTCCAAAATTCATAGGTTGAAGTCCTAGCCCCACAACGTGATGCTGTTAGGAGGGGGGGAGGCTGTGGGAGGTGATGAGGCCAGGAGGGTGGGGCCCTCATGAATGGTATTAGTGTCCTGATAAAAGGGACCCCAGAGAGCTCCCTTGCCCCTTTTGGGATTGAGCACAAGGAAAGCTGTCAGTATGTACTCTGCAGCCCAGAAGAGGGGGCCCTTGCTAGGACCTGACCATTCCGGCACCCTGATCTCAGACTTCCAGCCTCCAGAACCATGACAGGTACATTTTTGTTGTTTAAAAGCCACTTAGTCTATTGTACTTTGTTACAGCAGTCTGAACTAAGACACCTTCCCCCTAGTAAGGTCTCAAAAGTGGTGACATGCTCCTTGGAGCTTTTCAAATGCTTCCAGAAGCCATCAGGAAATGCTGAGTCCCAGCGGCTGTCAATGTGGGGGCTACTGCAGCTCCAGCAGAAGCCCTGGCTCTCTATCTTTGAGATCACTGGAATTTCCACTGTGACTGATGAGGCCAATGTCTCAATGACAGACTAATGACTGTCAGGAAATGTTAAAAAAAAAAACCACTCAAAATTAGAAAAGGGATTCTTCATGTTGAAAAAGTGGTTATTACAGGATTGGTGACTATAGAAGATCTGCCAAAAGTTGATGTGGTTGTGTCCTGAAAGAGCCAGCATAGACAGTTGGGCAGGTTACATACTGCACAACCCTAGTGGGATATCATCAACACTGTAGATCTGAGAGGTTTCTATTTTCTTTCTTTTATAAAAGTTTTCTGGAAAATGGCAGTGAAGAGTCTTTTTTTTTTTTTTTTTACCAAAATCAGTGTATGATCAGTGACAATTTTATGACCAACAGGAGCCAAGTGTCTTAAGGAAGGACTGCCTTTTCTACTTTGCACAAATATGTTGTGTGGACTGCTGGTGGCAGTGTTGTGTGTCTGTCTATTCCATCCTCCCTCCATGCAGACCGGAGGGGGACAGGGGCTGGCTATGACAGCAAGGACCCTGGTGGCAGATGCAGTTCTCCATCTGGATGTCAGCAAAACTTCGGCATCTGCTTGGCTCCAAAGGCCAGAGGTGGCTCTTACCTAGACACTCACCTCAGCAGGAAGCAGGGTGTAGGAGTAAAACTGCTTCATTTTGGTCACCAGATCATCTGTGGAGAATGTCACATACTCCACAAACTTCCGGTTCAGCAAGAACCAGTCCGAGCCTCCATCCACAGCAATGCCCTCTGGGATTCGCCGGTCCCCCAGGCGCCACATGTGGGCATCACACTCCAGGAAGAGTCGGTCCAGACCCTGTTTTCGGATGAACCTGCGAAAGACAAGGTAACCCTTAGCCCAAAGGTGCACGGAATCCAAATGAAAATAGCACAATTATGTCAGTAAAAGAATGTATTGAGCACTTCCTGTGTGCCAAGTTTCTTTTTTTTTTTTATGTTTATTTGAGAGGGAGAGAGAGAGCAAGTGGAGGAAGGGGCAGAGAGAGACAGTGAGGGAGACAGAGAATCTCAAGTAGGCTCCACGCTGTCAGTGCAGAGCCTTATGTGGGTCTTAAACTCATGAACTGTGAGATCATGACTTGAGCTGAAACCAAGAGTTGGATGCTTAATTGACTGAGCTAACCAGGAGTCACTACTGTGTGCCAAGTACTGAGCCAGGGGCTCTGTGTGTAGTTTGTCACTTGATCTACACTAGTGAAACATGTCACTATGTCCCCATGAGGCAGGCACTGTCCTTATGCCCATTTTATGGGGGAGGATCCTGAAGCTTAGAAGGTTTAGGGGGCTTGCCCAGCACAAGTGGATGGCAATAATCATCTGCCGTATCTGCCTCCTCCTTACGCAACTTTTGAAATCACCCTTTCATGCCATGAATGCCTTGGCAGTTTGGTGAATACAGCCTGTAGATGCCCATCTTGGAATAATGCTCTTAAAGGCATACCTCAAAACATGTCGTATTAAGAAATATTAAAAAAAAACCAAAGTTATGATATAATTTGTATGGTTTTAGATTCACACATTACATATAGGATTACAAAATATTTTTCAAAACACCAAATTTATGTGTGTTTCTTTTGTAACACATGAGATAACGAGATCTTGTGGCAGGTCTAATAACTACTATAATTTTGCAGAAGAGGGGAGCATAAATGATACTTAGAGGTATACGCATCAACCATAATGCGATATGAAAATATGTGATTCCTAACAGTTACCACTAATACTGTTGTGGCTTGTTACCTCCATTTAGCTGTATTTCAATTAGAGTTTAGTGAAAATAAAGATTGCTTTCTTCCCAGCCAAAGTTATGGGCCCCCTGAACCCTGATTAATAACTCCAGCTCTTGAGCGTATATATATTTGGGATTTGCAAGGCAGGCAGAGCAGAATTGGCACTTTCTGTTTTGTAGATGCAGAAACCAGAGATCAAAGAGCTGGCAAAACGGATGTGTCGGGAAGGTGGGCCAAACTAGAACCAAGCCTTCTGGCGGGAACCCTCAGGTTCTCTGCAGTGGGAGCCCCACACCTATGGTGTGCCAGGCACTGTGCTGGCCTGGTGTGGGGATGGGAGAGGGAAGGTGTCGCTGTTCCTCAGGACGCTGTCTCATGGGGACCTGTAGTCTACAGGTCTCCTGACCCAGGGCCCTTGCTGCTTCTCCAGCTCATACAACATAAAACCAACCATTTTCAAGTGTGCAATTCAATGGCATTAGTACATTTGCCATGCCGTGCAACTGTCACCCATGTAGTCTCAAAATATTTAAGCATCCCCAAAGGACATCCTATAAGTAGCCACTCCCTGTCCACCTTCTTTTGCCAACACCAATCTGCATTCCGTGTCTATGGATTTACCTACTCTGGACATTTCACACAGATCCAATCGCACAATACATGGCCTGTTTGAGTCTGGCTTCCTCTACCAAGGATAGCGTTTTCAAGGCTTCATCCTGTGTTTCTGTCTACCCCGCATCCACTCCTCGGTTTTCTGGGAACCACACCTTGGTTTTACTTTGGACAGCCACCCATCTTAGCTCTCACTTAACTTGGGTTTGCGCCCGACTCCCAGCACCAGGCGGTGGTGACATGACCTAGGCTGGTCAAGTCAGAGTGTCCCATCTGCCCGGCTGCCACAACTGGTTCTGCGATGGGTGAGTAACTCAAGCAAAGTCTGAGATCAGACCCCAGGCTTTTGCTGGATCTACCAGGAAGGAGGGCTCTTCTCTGGCATCTTCAGCTGAGAGAATGTAAGTCTAGAGCAGCTGGTGCCATCCTGTCACCGTTGAGTATACAGGCTGTTTGATACTGGAGGTAAGAAAGGAGAGAGAGGGTGGGATAGAGAGGGAGAGAAGGAGGGAAGGGGGGAGGGAGGGACAGTCTTGATGACTATGCTTGAGACTCTGGATCTCACTGTGCCTGACTCACCCCAGACTCCTCAGTAATGTACTTAGGGCATTTTGAAATGAGATTCTGTCATTTGCCCTTAAGAAAGTCCTAATACATTTCTAAACAACTTAAACTTTTATCACTACCATGATGGATGTGCATCGTCTCAGTCCCTAGAGAAAGCAGACAGCCATGGATGTGACACATAAATACCCCTCTTCCACTAAGCCAGTCTGCACCCCGCATCATGTGTCTAGAGGCCTTTGCACCTCCATGTCTTCAGATTACAGTTATCAGTCTCCCACCAGGTAGACGCTGTTCTTGTTAGAACTGACCTTGGATTCCCCCTTTCTGCTTTCCTCATGGTTCCTAGGACAGTGTAAGGTAGTGACTCAGGAAAGGTCTACTGTGCTACCCAGACTTCAGGGTATACAAGCTGGAGATAGTTCCACTGTGCTGGACATGCTGAATTCTACAAAGAATCCATCCCTTCCAGTGGGTCTCCCCAAATCCACTAGCATCCACTGGAGGGAAGTATGTGGAACCTCACTAATAACTCCATATCCCCAGTACTTTCTTATGCATAAGGAGAGGACCTGCCCATAGACACTGGTCACTCACTGAGCATCATGATGAAGTCCACTGAATTCTTAACAAAATTGATGATAGAATAAAAAATATGTTGAAGACTTCATTCTTTTTTTGTTTTTTATAAATATAATCTATTGTCAAGTTAGCTAACATACAGTGTATGCAACGTGCTCTTAGCTTAGGGAGTAGATTCCCATGATTCATTGCTTACATACAACAGCCAGTGCTTGTCCCAACAAGTGCTCTCTTCAATGATTATCACCCATTTTCCCCTCTCCCCCCTCACCCCCTACTCCAATCAACTCCTCTGTTTGTTCTCTGTATTTAAGAGATCATTTGCCTCGGTCTCTGTTTGAAATTACTTTTTCTCCTTCCCTTCCCCTATGGTCTTCTGTAAAGTTTCTCAAATTCTACATATGAGTGAAAACATATGATATCTGCCTTTATCTGACTTAATTCACTTAGCATAATACCCTCCAGTTCCATCCATGTTATTGCAAATGGCAAGATTTCCTTTTTTCTCACTGCCAAGTAGTATTCTGTTGTATATATAAACCATATCTTTATGTTGCGGACTTAATTCTGCTGAACTGTGCTTTTCATCTACATGGTGGTGCAGCTCTACCAGTAACCAGCTGAATGACTTTGGAAAGTGATGATCGAGTCTTAGTCTCACTTTTGGTAACATGACAAAGTTGGGCTTGGTCTGAACTGTAAAATTAAATGCTTACAGGGGTCAGACCGATAATGGAAGCATCTGAGGCAGGCTGGGTGTAAGACAACAGGGTGGGCAGAGTCAATAAAGTAGAGAAAACATTTTTTAAAGAGCATTCAAAGTCATTAAAAAAAAAAAAAGATGCTCTGACTAAAAACATATCACTAGCTTGAACCCAGCTCGATAACCATGACTTCCCAACTATGACATTGGCTAAGTCACTCAGTTATACCCAGGAGGAGGGTGTGGGGCAGGCATTCCAGACAGCTACATGGGATTCCAGAGAAGGCTGGCAAATTTTCTGCAGACACACAGAGGACACAAGCCAACCAGAAGACTGAGGTATCCAAAGACCCTGGTCTTGTTCTTTCCCTAACCCATTTCCAAGTTCAAAATCCACACTGTGAGCAAAGCCACATTCTCTCTGGGAGTGACCCACTGAAGGTTTTTCAATACACTTGCCGTATCAACCCACTAACACAAAACTCAGCTCTAACTGGTCCATGAAAGGAAGCCCCTGAGTTTAGGAAAATAAAATCCTACCTCAGCTCTGTCTGGTGCAAATTACGTAATAACGTTAAACTGCAGACACTAAACCATGCTTAAAACTTTAAATCCTAGGTAACTTCCATCAAGACTTACGTGGTAGCCAAGACGAGCTCACCCAGAGAGAGAAAGAAACAAAGTACAGGTGTTGAGGATATGCCAAAGTTTTCTTTCCATAGACCAGCCTTTTAATTTTGTGTTCCATTATGTGAGAGAATAGCATTGTCTTGCAATTTTAATGTGATGTCCCAGACCATAATATCCAAATACAATATTTATGCAGTAATCTCCAAAATGAAATATTCATGGGGTGGGAGATTGGTTGCTATATTTACTTGCATTTGAAAACTGATAAGCTGCAAAAGCATGCTTTGGTTAATTATGAGTAAATAGAGACAAACAATCCCCCCACAGCTCAGTTCCTGGGTTAAGAGGGGGTTCTGGACTGGGATAATGTGGCAAAGGCCCAGAGTTTGGGTATTTAGCAGGGGAAAGGAATCAGCTGCTTGGGCAGTGATTTGCATTTTGTTTTCTGCCCTATGCATTTGTCATCAGTTGAAAAAGGGAATGGCTGGAAATCAAGGTAAGTAGGAAAAGATCTGGGCGTGCCCTTTCCTAAATGCTGGTTCAGCAGTCAAGAGTGCGTGATTCTCTGACCTGAGGGGTGGAGAAGAGACTTATTTAAGCGCTGGGCCCAATGCACAGAAGATGACCCATGACACCCTCCTCTCTTTACTTTCATTTCCAGATGACTTGGTTATGTGAAGGCAATGGAGTCAACAGGTGGAATTACAGAACAGACAGAAAGAGGATCTGGGTACCAATTCAGACTCTGGCTTCACAGACGGTGAGATATGGGGTTGGCCTGACTCTCTGGAATGCCAGTTTCCTCATCTGGAGGATGAGTTCCATGACACTCGTGCTGACACCCTCCTGAATCAGCTGTGAAAGTCTGACAGGTGAAGTTTATAAACACCCTTGCAAAGTATTTAGTAAGCAGTGTTCATTCCAGCAATGGACCGACACAGTCATTCCACAGTGAACCATTCTTACATAGTGATCGTACCCTCCCACAATC